GAAAAAAGTAAAGTAGTGTACGTACACACACACACACACACACACACACACACACACACACACCCCCCTTCAAGCATAAAATCTTAGTGGGACTATAGAAATGGAAATGCTAAACATAACCCACACAGCCCATCTAGATATTGATAAGTTCAAGAACATAGGCCATGAATTTGATGTGTTATGTTGGCCACACGTTAATGCCACCATTGCAGCCCAGGGGGAGGCAGGACTACGGTGGCTTTAAACCACCTTTTCACCCTCCCAATTCTGGGCTACTTCAGGGACTTGAGATGTTCCTGGCATAACATGGACACCCCTGGGGGCCTGTCTAATTTACACTCTCAGGCTGCCTTATGGGCCACAGCAGTGCCCAGAATCTCTTACAGTGCTGTGGTCTCACCCCCCAGCATACTCCCCATGCTGGAAGTTATGAGGGTGTTTGTGTGAGGCAGTCTTGTGACTGTCTTCTATCTACAGTGTCTGCACTGGGGAAATACCCCTCTTGCTGAATACTGGGCTTTTAGAGCCCTTTTATGCCACTTTGTCCCTTTCGTGTGGTGTAGAGAGGCTGGAGTGGAAGTGAGGCTGTTATCCAAGATTTCCAAGTATGAAATATGCAGTAAATAAAGGACACCGGATGCAAAAGAATCCTTGGTTGTACTTGGTCCAAGATTGATGGAGACCTCTTTTATCAAGGAATGAACCAAGATCTTTACTCAGAATTTATTTTCTAAACATCGTAGAAATCAGTTGTTATTTGGATAGGGTGGTCATTAGAAGAGAGAGAGTTATATCCTCTCTGTTCCAATGGCAGCGAGAATAGGGAATACTTTGTCCCAAATCATGGCCAAATTCTATTCCACTTTCTCAAATTGAGCATTGGTTACTAACAATGGAACTACACATGGAGTAAGGTACTACTCATGCATAAGCATGGGAGAATTTAGGCCTATAGTTTCATCAGCTGCCTATGGTGTTGCTGTATTAACAATTTATAGCACCACTATTATTCCTAAATATCCAGAAGCCATGGATCAAAGTTTTATCCTTTAAAAAAGCTCTTCATTTTATCTTTTGACTTCTTGGATCTTTTTATTCTATTAAATTTGTTTCATATTCCCTCTTCACCACCACCACCACAGACCAATGAGATATATGCTATAGTGATGAGCACCTAGAGCAGAATCTAGAGAGATTAAATTGTTATTCAGTTTGGGAGTAAAATAGATGTCAGGTAACCAACTGTGCCTACTTGGTAATCCAGTCCTAAATTCTTAGGGTCAGAATGTGCCTTTTAAACCACAGCCCACATTGGAGGGGCCCCAGAAGGAATTCTGTCCAATTCGGAATTCTTACACAGCCAGAATACTTCCTTGGGCTCTCAGGAACAGCAGATCCACCACCCTGCCACTTGCTGCAGTAAATGCTCCAGCTCAGGGAAGGAAGGGTGGGACCTTTTGTTAGCTAGGACTCATTACTAGTGTCTACAGACCCCACCTGATCTTTCTTGGGCATTCATAGGGCCATCGTAACCAAGAGCACCTCACAATCTTTAATGTGGTTAGTCTCAAGACACCTGTGTTGGCACAGGTGCCGGCTTCCTCCAGGCCCCAGGGCTGATCAGGCCCCCTCTCTAGCCCAGGCCCTGTGCCCATCCGATCCCCTCCCCCACGGGCTGCTGGCAGACGGGAGGCGCTGCGGGGAGCTCGCTGACAGTGGGTGCCTATGTGTGTGGGGTAGGGAGGTAGTAAGAGCCCTATTTTACGGATGGGGAACTGAGCCAGAGTGAGACAAATTTTGCCACTGACTTCAATGGGACCATGATTTCACCTTAAGTGTCTTGCCCAAGGCCCCACTGGAAATCTGTGGCGGAGCAGGGAATCTAATGGAATCCCATATTAGCACCTTATCTACTGGATCATGCTTTCTCTCAGGGATTGTTTTTGAGGCATAGAGGCTATAATGGGAGGGTGAGGGAGTTAAAGCCACCCCTCTCCTTAAGCACCAGTGTAGGGCCAGCTACAATCAAGAATTTAAAACAAATTTACATAAATTTCAGCTACTTTTAGCACAAAAGCAATGAATGCTCATAAGTAATTGATATAAAAATACCATTGTCACTTATTATTTCTATGACCTCATGCATTTAATAATTTCAAACCTCTTATAATAATCCCCCCACATTAAAAGCAAAATGACCATCTTTACATATAACAACAAAGCAAAGAAAACAATTCATCTGAAAGGTGATAAGATGAAATTTCAGATGATATTAAGACTGAGACTTTTAAAAAAAAATTGTAGAGTTTTCCTGCCTTTGAATCACAAAAAGGTAGTATGTGTTTTCTTTCACCACAGGTGATATGAACCTTGCCAAGCAATTAGCTAGATCACATAAAAATGGATGAGAATCAAGTCTCTTCGAAATCAGATGCTAATTTAATACTGAGAAAATAAGATGTGATTATAATGTAGTGAGTTTTCTTTAGTTCTGTTTGCACCTTATTAAGGGCAAGCTCCTACAGCCCTTACTTTAACTTCAGTGACAAGTCTGTCTCAATAATGACTGCAAGTTATGGTCCTTTATGCACAGAAAATAAAGATGTACAAGCAGCTGGAGTATAGTAAAATGCAGGATGTTTTTTATTGAGCAAAGTGTACCGTAAAACTCCATTTGAAAATCTTAGGGCTTTTTTCTCTACTTCTTGATTTACTGCAATGTAAAATATCTATACACCTTTAACATTTTATCTGGAGTATGTTGTTGTTTTTGCCATTGGTGATTAGTTACATTTCTGAAGTTATGAAGAAGGGGGAAAAAAATCTGCCCCAAAGAGGATCTGTAATTCCTTTTTGGTTCTGAAAGTGGTGTAGTTACCATAAACTTCTAGGAGCATATATTGACTTACTCTTCAGAACTCTCATTGTGAAATGTTTCCTGGGGGCACTTGGTTCATGTTTGTACTGGTTTGACACAAATCACATGTTAAAGACTTATCAAGAATCCAATCTCCTGGGGAGCTGAGCAGCTGCGGCAGGTTCAGTAATGCTATTCAGTTTTAGAGTCCCACCAGCAGAACAAGCATTCAGCACCAAAGTATATATAGTGTATAGCAACTCTACTGTATACACATCCATCTACCAGGGGATTCGATACTATCTGCTGCAGTGAAACAATTTAATTTAAAATACGATATCACAGTGATTTGTATTCCTAAGTGTTACCTTCATGTTAATTAATGCTACCATTCATCCTTCCTGTACACAACTTATTCACACATTATTGAGCACAGAGAAAAATGACAAAATAGACTTGACAGCGAATATAGTTTAAAAGTAGTCTACAAAGAACACTGCACAATTTGCAGTTTCTTTCAACTGTATAGATCTATTTGTGTGTGCGCATAATATTACACAACTATTTAATGAAATCATTAAGCCTTTATTGCTAAGGCTGTGTGAGTATACACTTTGAGTAATGGTTTAATACAGAATTTCTAAATTATATATGATATATAGAACAGTTTCACTGTATAGATTCTACTTCCCCTTTAGGACCTTTCGTAACACAAATTCAGTGTAAAAGTTTAGACAAAAAAAACCCTCTGTAGTTTCCTAAATGTATTTAATTCCACACTGACAAAACAAACAAACAAACAATTTTTCCCTCCCCATAAACAGAGCTATAGAACACAGTAATAACATCAGAATTACCTTGCCTGAGGTGTATTCCTTTTCTCCTCACCGTATGAATGTGGTATTTTTTCCAAGTTTTTCTGCACCACAAACTCCAGTCAATGTTATTCTAAAGAATCAGAAACAAGCAGGAAAAGGAGGCCTGGGCACCTTTTCTTTTTCTGAGTGGAGCTAATCAAACATTCCCATCAAGCTCCCAGCACTTCAAAAGGCACATTACATTACACTCACTCACTCACTCACTCTCTGTCTTACCCCCCCAACACACATGCAGAGCTTCTTACACTGATTTAGCTGCTGAATTAGGCGGTCCTCTTAAATTTCTGCTCCCTCCCACTTGGTTTTTTTTTTTTTTGGTAGGGATTTCTATTTTCTCAAGATGAAATTAAAATGTACCCACCAGTCTGTCAGACCTGTCAAGTTTTGCTCTTTGGGAAAACTTTACTGATGATTTGGTTCCATTTTCTTCAGTTTCAGCATTTCAGCAACACTAAAGTTGAGACTTGTGAGTTTGTTTGGTAGGAAAAGGACTACAGCTAGAAGACTGAAATACATTGAGTAGGTCTGAGGATTACAAATTGGTTAATTGTGAGCTAAATTTAAAAAACAGAACTTGCTTTTTAAGAGCCAGGTTCTGATTCTTTTACTCAGCCGGAGTAGCATCTTACTTCACAAATAGCACGGAGTTGGGTGCTACTTTTTGTGAGCAAGAGTATTAGAATTTGGCCCATAAAAGCATTTCAGGTAGAAATGAAAAACAGTGCTGCTTTCCTTCTTGATTGTGGTTTTGGGGCATTTAGTAAAATGGTCTTAAATAGTTCCCATGTCTCATTCATTCATGTGGTTTTGTTCAAATTCTTTCTCCCCACTGATTTGGCTCATGATTGTTTTCATCTTTGTGAAAATGGCCCTTTTAAAGCACCAAGTTTATATAGTATTTCCAAAACAAAATATGACAAGACCAAATGAGAAACACAAAATGACCCAAAGAAGTTGAGTGAGTATTTCTAGAAAAACCCAGTTCCCTCCAAGTATGAGGTTAGAAATGCTGATCATAATTCACAGTGCCCTCTGAGCATTATTAAGTATATGAAGAGGGCCCCAGATATTTTGCTTTGGCCAAGGACGAGTGCTTAAATAAGTAGAGGAAACAGAATTCAATAGAAACACTGAAATCATGTGTACTTCCTGATTGCCCTTGGTCCAAGGATGGTGCAGATTTATTTGAATTCAAAAGGGAAAGATTACCTTTGATTAGTAGATCACTATTCTAATTTTTGTTGAAATTGTACTGTTGTGCAACAGATCAATATAATAACGTTGTTTACTCACCAAAAAATTCCAAATGAGTTACTAACAAATAATGGCCCAGACTTCATAAGTGGCTAATTTCAGCAATTTTTTCTGTGATATATCCATTTGGGCACACCACATCAAGCCCTTAAGATGCAAATTCAAATGGTTTAACAGAAAAATCAGTTCAAATAGTAAAAAGTAAAGCTGTTAGAATATCACAACACACCTCATAATGTTTTATGGGACTTATCTGTTCAGATACTCATGGGCAAAAGGACCTTAGGGCCAGATTTTTAAAGATGCAAATGGGCAAGTAGGTACTTCTGAAAATCTTATCAGGTGCCTAACTCCATTGATTTCCCTTCACCCCAGGAACTGAAAATGAAAAAGCACAACATCCAACACAGGTTATAGATGCACCTCTATAGCCACTGTGGAAGGGAGACAAGCCACCAGTGAGAAGAGTCCAAAATGGCTACCCCCTCACACATGAAATTAGCACCCATGACCCGTGTATCTCCTGACCATTGCTCTAACCCCCTGAGCTATGGAGCGCAGCTGTTGCTTTGGGAACAAGAAGTGGTCATGTGATCAGGAAGCCATCGGGTTTGGCAATGAGTTATTGACAGATGTCCAATCGGAGGCAGAATAAGCCTCTCATCTGTCATATGTTCAGATCATCTACACTGACTTCCATCTGAGATGTCTCCAGTTGTGTAGTCCATTAATTGGTGGTGGTTTTTGGTCGCTGTTGTTTTATTTGCATATGAGTTTAAACAAAAAAGGTGGTGGAATATGTAATGGCAGCCCCTGAATCCTGTCCTCTGTCACGATACAAGATTCTTTTCTTTCATCTGGCATTTGAAAATCAACAGGTTGGGATTATAATTTAATCTTAAAATTCAAAAGCTATTCTAATTCTTCTGGGTTAGCTAGGTGGATCCCCCTTGTACCGCCACTGTAAGTGTGAATTGGGCAGTTGCCCATGATGTGTCCCATCACAATACCAATTTGGTGATTCTTTGATTTTTTCATTGTGCAGGAAATATCCACACCTTCAGTGCGTTGTCTGAACGTGGCTAAGTGCGCTGTACTGCCTATGGGGAAGGCAAACTCCTTGGATTTCTTTAGTTGGCTCTTCAATCAGGTCTTTGGGGACATCACAAGTGGCCCACGATTCAAGCCAGTGAGTGCTGGCATTCTTTCCATTGGCCTGTAGCACTGATGCATGGATCCAGGAATGCTTCCTGGATTTGAATCAGGAGAGTGGCAGTGAATTGAGATCTTGGTGTATTGGTAGCTCTGGAGTGGCCATGATCTTATTGTACTCCTGGATCACAGCAGTGTCTTGCCTGATGTTGGCTGGTATGATGCCTGCCAAAACTGGAAGCCATGGTATTGAGAGAGCTGTTAATAATCTTGAATGCAGCATTGATTTCAGTGTCAGTGAGATTGGGGTGGGAGCTATTGCATCAAACTGCTGTGCAACACTCTGCTGTGGACAAAACCAGGGCTTGTACAGATTTTCAAAATATGTATGCATCACATCCCCATGATTTGCCCAGGAGCTTCTGAATTACGTTAACCCTTGTATTGATCATCTTTTTGGTGTTGTCAAGGTTTTGGCGATAGCTCAGTGTCCAAGGTACCATGGATTGTGGTCATGAAATAAAGGCAGACCACAAAAGTTCCCTTTCAACGGCACTTTGGCTTCGTGGTTGTTTAAGTGCAAAGCAGAGATGAATGTTTTCAAAGTGTTGGGTTTCCACCACCAAGCTTTGAAATGAGTCTCAAGTGTCCAGAGATCAGTGTTCATCACCTTTTTTCTGTGGCCTTCAGAGAGGACGCTTACATTGCTAGTGCAATATCCGCTGTATAGATGATTTTATGGGATTATGCGACTGGAATGTCGCTGGTATAGAGATTAAACATCGCAGGCACTAAAACAGACAGGATTGCTAACCTTTTGTGTTCCTGATCCATGTCAGGTGACTAATCCCAGGAAGTAAAGCCCAGTCTCTTACTATTATTCCTGTGTGTCATAAATGTATTTGCTAGTGGGGCTAGTGCACGTTATGTGGCTCCCCCCTTCCCCCCCCCACACACTTGGACAGCACAAAAAATAATGAATGTCATATGCCACAACAGCAGCAGAAGCTCTTTGTTTCCTCTTCAGTAAAATCTTCCAGACAAAATAACTGTTATGCAAATTAATATGTTTTCACTGTATATGATAGAGACAAAGCAGTGCACCTTTTGTAGTGGTAGCTCGTACCTCTCTAACCTATATGAAGTCTTTGAAAGGTTTAACAGAGTAGCTGATAAAGCAAAAGCAGTGAATAGAAATTATTTAGATTTCAAGAGAAGTTGGATGAAGTTCTTTACAAGGAGCTTTTAAGAAAACATAGCAACCAGAGTGAGGTAAAATCCAGCCATGGAATAAACAATGTTTTGAGCAGTAGAAAGCAAAGACTAGGAATAGGCCAGTTACCAGAACAAAAAGAGGTTACTATTCAGGTCCCTAGAAATCAGTGTAAGGTCTAGTACTGTTTACTATATTTATTAGCAGTCCTGAAAGAGTTGGTGATCCTTAACAATGGAGAATTGTATAGCAACAGGGTTGTGGCTGGATGCCTTAACTCCTCACTTTCAGATCATGTGTCATCTTGTCCTTTTTTTTTTTTTTTTTTTAAAGGCACAGGATTTTTGTCAAGAAATCTTTTGGATACAAGTTGGATGTAACTAAAAATGAACATTCAACCTTAACTCTTTTTCAGCAAAGTTATTTGTGAATGTGAATTGATATAATAGTGGCCTATTCCACATATTACAGTCAATATAAAACACTGTGATGTGTGTGTACACGAAACACACGTCTATTGCACAGGACGCCCAGCATGTTCCCACCACACTCAGATGGGGACACAGATGTATTACAATTCTGGTTCTCATTCTCTAAACGTGAACCTACCAAAACAAACAAATTGGAAGAAAAATTAGTTATTCAGCATTTGAAACTTCCACCTCAAGTCCTGACACTTTGATTTATTGCTGTGGTGTGACAAAATGTCCAGACTTCTTAACTCTCATTTGCAGTGGGTGGTGCCCTCTCGTGGCAAAATTTTAAAGGCTGGCTAGCGTCACTCTAATACTCAGATGAAATTATAAACATTTGACTTTTGGGAAGCTTCACTGAAGGACAAGGTCTGTCTTCTCTTCATTTGAAATAAAGAAAAAAATAATTGTCCCATTTTAGCTGTACTCTGTATCTCTGTGTTTACACCATGGGCAAACACTTTATCTCTTGACCAGGGTATTATACTTTGCGTTTCTTTTAGTCCTTTTCATTCTGAAATCGCAAACTGCTCTACGAAGATCAATAAGTAACAACTATCCCTATTTTACAGATGGGAAAACTGAGGCCCAGAGCAGTTTATCATGTTGTTGTTGCTTAAGATTACATAGCCAGTTGGTGTTTAAGTTAGGAGTAAAACTCAGCTCCTTTGACTTCCAGCTCTGTGCCCAATCCATTGGACCAGGTGAATTGGTAGAGGTGGGTCATACTTCAACAGTTTACAAATAGAAAATTTTAAACCAAGGAGACAAAGTATACTATGTCCAAGGTTTTGTAGATTCTAAGGCCATAAGGGACCATTATGATAATCTAATCTGACCTCCTGTATAGCACAGTCTATAGAAATTCCCCAAAATAATTCCTAGAGCATATATTTAAGAAAAACATCCCATCTTGATTTAAAAATTAAGGATGAAGAATCCACCATGAACCATGGTAAATTGTTCCAATTGTTAATTACTTTCTCCATTAAAATTTTGACTTATTTCCAGTCTAAATTTGTCTAACTTCAGCTTCATAAAATCATAGAAGATTAGGGTTGGAAGAGACCGGAGGGGGTCATGTAGTCCAATCCCCTGCTCAAAGCCGGACCAACACCAACTAAATCATCCCAGCCAAGGCTTTGTCAAG